ATGTGTGGCATCTGCAGAAAACAGATTATGGTAAAAATAAATAAATAAATAAATAAAAACAAAAAGAGTCAAAGTCAAGTCTTTGTGCCCAAGTCTTGTGCTGTGGTGCAAAAAAAAAAAAAAAAAAAAAAAAATTCATGGTATATGTGGATGTTTCTCATACTGTGGTGTTGACCCTATCTATCATTTACTATGACTTATGGATCAGTTTGAATAGATCAAAATAACTGAAGACAGTATGTTGCCCTATGCAAATGAGGAAATGCCTCAAAAATGATATTTTCAGCAAGACACTGGCTCCAAACACACAAACAAGTGAGCAACAACTTGGTTTTAGGCAACAACAAAAAAGCTTAATGGAGTAATGGAGTGGCCTGCTCAATCCCATGACCTCAACCCAACTGAAAACGTGTGACATTAAAAATGCAGTTTCTGAACTTCTGAAGCAAAACCCAAACATTCACAGGACCTGAGTGGGATTCTTTTTACTGGGCTAAAACACAATTTTTTTGGGGGGGCGTGTCTTGAGTTGTTTGTTTTTTTTACTCAAAAACAATGTAAATACTAATTTAGGAATTAAACCGAAAGGAAGTTTTAATGCTATTTGTGAACCGATTAATATTTATTTTATCTTCTAATAACAAACACACAGAAAGAATTTTTTTCACATTTCAGAAAGCTGCTTTCACACAGCTCTACACATTTTTAACGTTCCACAGTTTAACTCCAGACCCTCTGACACACACACACACACACACACACACACACACACACACACACACACACAAACAAACACTATTTATTCACTTGTCTCTCATAAAACAGTCAAATAAATAGTCGCTTCCGAAAGTCTATGGGGCTCCGCACCCTCCTTTCTCTATCCAGAGCTCCACAGCATTGATTCATAGCTGTAATTGAGTTTGTGCTGGCCAGTCCAGTGCTGTGCTGAGTGCAATAGTTCAGAGCTTTTTACATCCTGCTCCATATGACCAGATCTAAGTCCATCAAAATGCTAAACTGTAGCTGCAAATGAAATAAACACTTTAAGAGTGGATATTTATATGAATTTTTTTTGCGAACAGATACTTCTCCATTATATTCACTCCATTAAGTGATGACGCTGGACCATCAGACAGCCACATCCATCCTGAAGCCCAGTCTAAAGGTAATCCTATATTATATTTGTGTTTTCACATAAGGGTTGAATGTCTTCAGTGGTGGACGGATCATGTTGTTTCCTTCTGTGCATCCATCCAGTTCATCTTTCTTTCACAAAAATGTGTTTTCTAGAGTCAAGACCAAAGAGACTCAAGAAAAGAAGCATTGTGGCTGTAGTCTCTGTATTCTGATCTCCTAGAGAATGTTAGAATGGTTTTTCACCAGCCTGTGATGGTATTTGTTTTCCACAGCTCTTAAATATATAAGTGGACAGTGTTTGGATAAAAAAATTGCATAAACAAATCACAAAGGGAGAAAGGCCATACCTCCAAGTAATAAAAGTAACCTTATTATTTGCCATTTCAGGCTTGACTATGTTTTTTTAATATATCAAGTGATTCATGAGGACTGTTTATTCTCACATTGGTATAATGTCGTAATTGGATATTTTATTACACTAAAATAAATAGAGTTTTTTGTGATAATAAGTAACATTATAAAGCCTGTCTCATGTTACATGATGTTTCCTTTAATTGAGGAGAAATAATAACTAAACAAGGTGACAAAACGATTTAGATCACTTCTTTTTAACTCGTCAACTGTCATTAATTAGGCAACCAAAGAAAATATTCGAAGTGACTCTGCAAATAAAGGTGTCACTGAAACACTGGTGTTTTAAACATCATCTGAGAGGCAAATCAGAAGATGCAAAGAAATATCGTTTAACCTTTAAACTGCAGGGCAACACAATTAGACAAATTCAGATTTCCCTCAGAAACACATGTAAAAGGCTTTCACGTGTAAAAACAGGATTTGGTTACTGCATGTTGTCCAGCAGAAACAAAACACTGTGTGTGCACTTTTAAAGCAGTTGCATAATTCTTGTTTAAGCATGCAAATGACAACTAAATTTTCTGCAATTAAATTACACAGTTCTGCCTAAACATCACTTATTTATCAATGTATTTATCTTTAACATTAAGTATTATTGCTTCTGCTTCATAACATCATTTAGGTTTCCATCATTTCTATTTTGAAAGCCACATCATGTTTCTCAGAATTGTTTTCTTGGATTTCTTTCTTTTATATAATTTAATTTATTTTATTTTTATTTCTGGCATAAATTAAGGTTGTTTTCTTTTGTACTCAATGATTCACATTTATTTGATGAAATCTAAATGGATATTCATGGGCAGTTGTTTTATATTTGCACTTTGTAACCTTTTTTTCAGAGTCATTAGTTTTTTAAGTCCCAAAAAACACGGCTGTCAAGTAAATGAACATTTAAAGGCTTAACTTGGTTAATTGGGTTAACTAGGCAGGTTAGGGTAATCAAGCAAGTCATTGTATAATGATGTTTTGTTTTGTTGACTATCGAAAAAACATAGTTTAAAAGGGCTAAAATTTTTGACTTAATTTTTTTTTAAATTAAAACTGCTTTTACTCTAGTCAAAATAAAACAAATAAGACTTTCTCCAGAAGAAAAATACTATCATACTCTCTGTGAAAATTTCCTTGCTCTGTTCTACATCATTTGGGAAATATTTCAAAAAGAAAAACAAATACAAAGGGAGTTTAATGATTCTTAATTTAATAATTTAATTTAAGAATTTCAACTATATGTGTGAGTACGTGTGCATGTTTATTTTATTTAGAAGTTGTACAGTTTAGTTCTGACCTGCAGCATCACTCAGGACTGGTGTTTTTATTGCTTTAAAATAGCAAATGAAAAAGTTCAGGTGAAGCTTCAAAAAGGAGTTTCTCTCTTCTGACACTAGCCTAAGACCACCACTCTACCACTTCAGAAATTACTGTATATTTGGTATTCATATATTGTTCATTTTCCCAGAGATAAGTTGGAACTGGAAGGGCATCCGCTGCGTAAAACTTGTCCTGGATAAGTTGGCGGTTCATTCCGCTGTGGCTACCCCAGATTAATAAAGGGCCAAAGCCGAAATGAAAATGAATGAATGAATGAACAAATTAATATATTGTTTTTATTAACCCAACTTTGTTCAGTAAAAGAATGCAAGATTTGTTTAACACTTGGACATGAAAGAAACAATGAAATAAGAAATCTACAGTTAAAGTCAGAATTATAAGCCCCCCTGAATTATTAGACCGCTTGTTTATTTTTCTCCAATTTCTGTTTAACGGAGAGAAGATTTGTTCAACACATTTCTAAACATAATAGTTTTAATAACTCATTTCTAATAATGGATTTATTTTCTCTTTACCATGATGACAGTAAATAATATTTTACTTGATATTTTTCAAGACACTTCTATACAGCTTAAAGTGACATTTAAAGGCTACTAACTACTAAGGCTATTAACTAGGTTAATTAAGGTAACTAGGGAGGTAAGGGTAATTAGGCAAGTTATTGTATAAAAATGGTTTGCTCTGTAGGTTATCGAGAAAAAAAATATAGCTTTAAGGGGCTAATAATTTTGTCCCTAAAATGGTGTTTTAAAAATTAAAATTGCTTTTATTCTAGCCGAAATAAAACAAATAAGACTTTCTCCAGAAGAAAAAATATTATCAGACATACTGTGAAAACTTCCTTGCTCTGTTAAACACCATTTGGAATATATTTAAAAAAGAAGAAAAAAAATTGAAGGGGGCTAATAATGCTGACTTCAACTGCATATATACACATTACCGGTCAAAAGTTTGGGGTCAGTAGGATTTTTAAATGTTTTAAAATAAGCTTGTCCTGCTCACCAAGGCTGCATTTATTTAGTCAAAAATACAGTACAAATTGTAAAATTGTGAAATGTTATTGCATTATAAAAATAACTGTTGAAAAGTAGATTATCATTTAATTTGATCATTTATTCCAGTGAATTTAAAAGACAATTTTTCAGCTTCATTACTCCAGTCTTCAGAGTCACATGATGCTTCAGAAATCACTCCAACATTAATTATTATTGTTATTATTACTATTATTATTATTAGTGGTAAGAGTAATAAAAGCAATAATAACTGGAGTAATAATTTATTTTGTAATCACCTACAACGAAAAAGCAGAAATTTGAAAAAACAATATTGTACCTAAAATTGATCCTTGTGCTATGCCACAATTTACATATGACTATTTATAATTGCCAATTTCCACAAACTGTTGCCTATTTTTTAAATAACTGCTTATCCAATCCAAGGCTAAAATCAAACCTTTCTAATTTATTTACCGATATATGATTTATTATATCAAATGCCTTCTTTAAATCTATAAAAATTCCAACTACCAACTATTTTAAGTATTAAGTCAGGAAAAGTAAATTACTTATAGAGTAATTAAGTTACTCTTCAGAAAAAGTAATAAGAAAATAATTTAAATACAATTTTAATTATGCTACAAGTAATTGATTACCTCTTTGAAGTGACATACTCAAAATGGATGACGAGAGAGGGCAATAAATGCACTGATTTTGCATGTGATGTGATATAAAAAAAATCAATTACAACTTCCTTAATAGTTTTATTTCATAGCTTAACAAAGTAACGCAAGTACAAAGACAAATAAATAAATGTGTTTTCTGACAGAAAGAACAAGTCTAAATAATTTACCAAAAACTACATTTTGAGATTAAATGTTACTACAAACAATTGAGCTAAAATGTACAAACTCAGATAACAAGTTCACTCAGCTAGACCTTATACATTGTAAAAGCACTTAATTACTTAAAAAGCATTACAACAAACATGTTGACATTAAAAATTAAGTAAACCCAATGTAACTTAGAACTGCTAAGCTGACTTTTTGAAAAATAAAGTAATGATCTGCTTTACAGTCAGTATTTATTATTGATATTGGCTTTGAATTGATTGATCTTTTGTTGTTGTTTACTTCTTTACTCTCCCAAGACACAGAAAGTTGAGTCTCTGCTCACAGTCTGCAGGTTTCCATTTCTTTTTCATTAGGTTATAAACTCCACATCTCTGATTCATAGCAGGACACTGAAGATCTCCTCCTGGAGACCAGGCCTTATATCCAAAAGCCTCTCCATTCACCCAAAACCAGCTCCCAGCTAGAAAGCGCAGGCCGATCCATACGTCATCTGTCAAGGCTGATTCACTCTCTTGCTTCGCCCGATCCATCATTGAATCTGAGCTCAGAGAAGCAAGTTCATAGTGTTTTTTTCTACAGTCTCCCAATGCCTCCTCCCACGTGCTTTCCTGCTGGACCAGGATCAGCTCGAAGACCATCATGCAATAAAAAGGTAGATTCCAAGAGCAATCAGCATCTTCCATTTCAGCAGAGGATGTTTTGACCATAGCACAATAATGATTATTATTATTTGGTTCTCCACCCTCCCATTTGATATCAGTTGCCTGCTCACCTCCGCTCCATTTCCACACTGATGGGCTTTGAGAATCTCTGAAAAGTCCAGTCCAGTAATACGTATAAGAGACTTTGTCAGACAGTGGTTTCAGGTCTTCATGGCTCACCGTGGACAGGTCACTGTAGTATGTTCTGCAGAAAAATTGTGCATAACTCCAACTCATTTCATTACTCACATAATAGTTAATTGAGTAGTTGAGGCTGGTGTTCAGTCCAAAGAGACTCAAGAACAGAAATGCAATCACCAAAACCTTCACTGCCATATTGTCAGTGCTTCCAGTGTCTATCATCAGCAGCAATAACCAAAGGGAAGATGACACGTCCGAACTTTTGAAGACTTTTTCAGTGCAGTCTTGACCAATCAGAGGTCTCTACTTGTGAGACTCCACCTCTTGACTTCACTTGTGTGTGTTGCTTTATTTTTGCCACTTGTAAAAAACTAAAATCCTTACACGTCAAAAGTGAGTGTCAGCGAGATGGAAAAAATGTGTCCTTTTTAAGAATGACCTGTGTTGCAAATCAGAGGATGCAAATGGATATTGTTTACCTTTTTTAAACAAACTGAAGGACACAATAAGTCATACTGACTCCCATGTATTGTTTAGACACATAGGGGGAATTAGGGATACTGTACAGTGAAACAATTAATAATTTAATTATGAATTAACTAATTACAAATTATATTTAAGCTATTTTTTTCAAATTTGTTTTTATTGATTTTAATTAAATAATTTTTTGATTAAATAAATAATAAAAATAAACAGGTGCTAATAAATCAGGGGGGCTAATAATTCTGACCTCAACTGTACATTAGTTTAGTTAGTACTGAAGTCATATCTTGAGCTAATCTAACAAAAATTTTTTTACAATAATGGTTAAAAAATTAGTACAACTAAATTTATGTTAAAGAAAAATACAAAATAATGTTTACAAAAATAGCATAAATCAAGAGAAAACAAAAAATACATACAATTTTGTTGCTTGTAGGTTGTTTTTGTTTTTTGTTTTGCAATATTTTGCTTGAATTTAATTGTATTATATTTCCATTTCTAAAGATGTTCTTTTACTAAAATATAATTTTATTAAATATATCTGTTTAATAAATCTGTTTTGTTCAAATGCAGCAAAATGCATTGCCTCTATTCACTGAGAAATGGATAAAAATAGTCATTTTCAAAATGGGGTGTACTCAATTATGATGAGCACTGTATACTATATCGCACCGGCAGAAAAATATTATGGTTAAAATGATTAAAACACATCAAATAAGTACAGTATAAAACATTAAACATCTTAGTTTTACTAGCAAAATGAAGAAGATGGCATGTATTGTGGTCTTATATAAAAGAAATGCTTTATTTGTGCTTCATCACTATTAATGAAGCATTAAACAAATTTAAAATATATATATATTTGACTCACTTTTCTCCTTTCATAACTTTTTTTTTTTAATATTTGGCATATAATATCAACTGCAGGACCAAAATTACCGCATTAAATACACCATGCCCCATTTCGGTCTTTCATTTTGTTCTTCAGAGCCTCATGCTCAAAATACTTTGCTATGAGTATTAATTTAGTTTGCCTGTATATGTTGACTTGCATTACCAGTCAGATAAAATAGTCTCTGATGGCCTGAATAAATGAACAGCAAATATTGAATTTTGGGAAAACTATACCTTTAAACCAGGGGTGTAAACTCAATTCCTAGAGTGCCGCAGGTTTGCACAGTTTAGTTCCAACCCTGCTCCAACCTGTTGGCTTCAAACAAGCCTGAAGGACTTATTTAGTTTAATCAGGTGTTTAATTGGCGTTGGAATGAAACTGTGCAGAGCTGCGGCCCTCCAGGAGTTTGACTCCTGAGAATCAAAAACAGTTCATAAAAAAAGAATGTAAACCAGCATTTATTCACTGAATTTAACATTATGTGACAATTTAGAAACCTACACATTGCAAGATTAAATACATACAGTAAAATGACTCTGTAAAAGAAAGTATGACTAGAAAAATGTCTATGCAAATCAGATGATTCAAACAAATGTTGTTAACCTTTAAGCTAACTGAAGGACAAATTAAATACACAAATCAGTATGACCTCCCAAAACATGTAAATGCTAATGCATATGCAGCAAGCAAGATTTGTTTGCTCTATTCATGATACTCTCTATAAACACAATCAGAAAGTAGAAACACTGTGTTTTTATTTTTATTTATTTTTTTATCTTTAAACTTATTTGATAAATCTTCATGCTCAAATACAAAATATACATAGTTTCTCAGTTCATTTAGTGTAAAAATTTAGTTGAAAAAGAGTGATTAATACACACAGTTCTCTTATAATAATAATAATTAGTATATTATATTTTTATTAAATTCAAGAGTCAAGAAGAGCAGCAGCATGTTTTACAAGATCCTATGCATTTAATATACACAATTGTCTTATAATAATAGTTATTAATTTTTTTCGCCTTAGTCCCTTTAAATCTGGGGTCGCCACAGTGGAATGAACCACCAACTTATAAAGCATGTTTTACTCAGCAGATGCCCTTCCAGCACTGGGAAACACCCATACACTCTTGCATTTATACACATACACTACGGTCAATTTAGCTTATTCGATTGACCTACAGCACATGTCTTTGGACAAAGGTGGGGAAACCGGAGCACCCGGAGAAAACCCACACCAACATGGGGAGAACATGCAAACACCACACAAAAATGCCAACTGACTCAGCCAGCGCTCGAACAAGCGACCTTGCCACAGTGATGCCCCTTATAATAATATTAATTACTATTATAAAATTAGTATATTATATTCTTATTATACCCTGATAAGTCAAAAAGCAGCAGTTTTTCAAGATAATAATATGTAGGTATAAAGCCATTATTGTACTGCAGACTGCATGATCAGCAGTAAATATATCCTATAGTTATATATGCAAGTTTTCTTTATGTAAGTGAATATATAATGTGACTACACAATATATTTTACAAAATCCAAATGCATGCGTTTCTACTTTTATTAAAAGACTATATAGCTGTATTCTGTTAATTAGCCAGTAGAGGGAGATGAAGATTGAAAAATGAGCATGCACATCTAAAATAATCTTAAATCCTTTAAAATAACAAAACCTGAAACATGTTGAGTCAAGTATTTGTTGCAAATGGCCATTTATTAAACCATAAAGAATTTCTTAATCGATTCAATATCCCCATCCCCCCTAAAGAATTTGCTATTGGATTGTGATGCCATACCATCTGGATTTATTAGGTTACTCCAAGACATCCCCTATCTGTCTGTTTTCGCTCTTTAGAAGCTTCTACCACATTGGTAGGAAAATGCTGTTTCTCTGCAACTTCTTCAAACAAATACAGTTGAAACTATAAGTTTAAATACACTGTATAAAAAGGCACATAACCATTTTTTTTTTAAAAAGTCAGATGTTAATGTGACTAACATTTTTCTCTTTTAGGTAAGTTAGGATTGTCAAATTTGTTTCTGTTATGCTTAATAGAGATGATGGTGCCAGATTACAACTTGCTAAATTACACTGGGAAAAAAAAAAATTGGAGACATGTCCTGTGGTCATGGGGAAAGCTTACAAGCTTAGAAACACCTTCCCAACTGTGAAGAATGGGGGCGGCAGCATTTTGTTGTGGGGCTTTTTCGCTGCAGGAGGGACTGGTGCACTTCACAGCATCATGAAGAAAGAACCTTATGTGGAAATACTGAAGCAACATCTCAAGACATCAGCCAGGAAATTAAAACTTGGCCACAAATGGGTCTTCCAAACAGACCATGACCCTAAGCATACTGCCAAATTAGTTCAAATGTGCTTTAAGGACAACAAAGTGAATGTTTTGGAGTGACCATCACAAAGCCCTGAACTCAATCAGAAAATTTGTGGGCAGAGTTGAAAAAGCTTGTGTGCGAGCAAGACAGCCTACAAATCTGACTCAGTTACACCAGTTCTGTCAGGAGGAATGGGTCGAAATTCCTGCAAACTATTGTGAGAAGGTTGTGGAAGGACACCCAAAACATTTGACCAAAGTGAAACAGTTTAAAAGCAAAGCTAAAAAAATACCAAGGAAATGTATGTAAACTTTTGACTTTTGAAAAATTCTCTCATTAATCTGGCATTTAGCAAATGCAAATCAGTTAGGTAATCCTAACGGACCTAAAATAGTAAACGTTTAGTATAATTTACCATCAGACATTTTTTAAAAAAATGGTCATGCGCCTTCTTTAGAGTGTATGTAAAGTTCTGGTTTCAACTATAAATAGGCTTTTTATTACTTAATGGAATTGTGTTTGTAAATTATATAATTTGTTTTAATGTGTGATGTATATACTCCTTCTGTTTTATTTGTTGTTTTCTTTTTTCTCAATTTATTTTCTTTGTAATGTGCTGTGATTGTATACTCTCACTTTTCGCATAATAATAATAATAAAAAAGGTTGACATGCTAAATAAAAAAAGAAAGACAACTAAAAAATATTGACAAGGTTCATGCTTTGGTCACAGCATTAGTCAAATATAAAACACGTTAGTGTGTGTGTGTTGGGAAACCCAACTCTGCCCTCGTGACGTCAGAGAGGGAGTTCTGTAATCAGAACTTCCTCACATTTAAATTTCCCCCTTAATGTTTTATATATTCTCGTCGCAACGGGAGCTTAGGAGGAATGGGGTAAATATCAGTTTCGTTCAATCAGCATGTATTGTTGATGTCATTCCGCTGTTTAGGGATATCTTTATCACGCAGCCTCACCCAAAACATTCAGGCAGACTCAAAACACATTCAAGAGGGAGCGAGCACATGGGGATTTTCCAGCTGTGCTTTATGTTTCTTGTAGCCTCGTCGTTTTAATCGTCGTTTAATTTTCCTCACTAGGATGCAGCATTACTTCAATAACTGTTATTATGTATCAACATCGACCATAATCAAAACAAAATGTCACAGACACAAATTCTAAAAGATTCTTGGTGACGTTCAAAACAGAATCGGTGGAAAGGACTGGAAAGCAGCCACTAGAAACGTTCGAAAAGTTCAGTAAAATCAAAACACCAATGCGTCATGAGGGAGGACAGCGCGGTAAAGTTTTGCTATACTGTTTTCGTAATGTTTAAATTATTTTGACGTAAAAAGAAATAATTATCAATTGGGCAGGTGAATAAAATGGTTCTGTATTTAACGGCAGAAGACAGAAAATAGTTAACCTATGCCTCCGTTTGTGTAAAAACACGATAGATTGAGGTAAGCCATAGCAACAGGGTGTCGACTGGAATCAGATGTGGAGTCATGCTGACAACAAGAGCTGCCATTCAAAATCACTTTGTTGTGAAAACAGTGCATAAAACAATTAAGCTAGCGATCAGAAAAATATATCCTAACCTCGACCAATAACTTCAGCTAATTTCTTGTCCTTCTGCCCACTGAATAATTAACACTGGTATGAGGGTTGCATAACTTGTCTTCTACATGGAATTCAAAGTATACAGAGACATAATGACAACTTGTATAAGCATGTTACTTGCAAATTTGATCTTTTACAGGTTTAGCCTCGGCTTTATATATCTCTTTTCATACAACTTGCTTCAGTTCTGTGGACACACATGGATTTTCGCAAACATGACAGCCAGATTTCTCTCTTTTGGAAAAGGTAAGATTACAGATTACAGTTATTTTTTTGTGTGGGTTACTTTTTGGATTATTATTCACACAATGGTATTTTTAAAATGTATTTATGCTTTCTTGTCTTTTATTTAATTTTTACTTATTAAAAAATACTGTATATATATTTATATTTAAATATTCACAATATGGATTGGTCATGTAAATTATTAAAGCAATCAATGCTTTTGTATTTGTGGACAAAACATGTTTATTAATAATTATATGTATGGGACAAACATTTTACAGATGTATAGTAAATATTTTTTTATTATTTAACAACAAATTTGCATAGTCTGATGTCAATTAATGGCAAAACACATTGGCATAGGTTAACAAGTAATAAATAAACTAAATAAATTAATTTATTTTTTATTATTATTTTATCATTATATTTTATAAACACTTATTTAAAAAATATTATCCTAATTATCATAGTAATGTTTAATGAAGTACATGTTGCTGAACACATTTTCTTTACAATATTTTTTATTAAAATGTTATAAACAAGCTTGATCAAAAGGCAACTCAAAAGCAGATAACATCTCCTAAGTGAGTAATCTAATTACAGTACCGACTACATTTTACACTCCGTATTCCTTAATCAGTAACAGACAAGGGCTGCATGATATTTAAAAAATTACATTGCAATATTTTTCCTCTACAATATAAAGTGATATAATTTTACATGACATAAATAGCTTTTTTTTCGATTTTGTAGGGGACAGAAATATTAATATAGTTTTAGTAATTTATTATAAACATAAACTACAGTCATAAATAAACACAATTGAGCATATATTAAAGTGAAATAAACCATGCTTTTTGGTTTTCTGGAGAGAGCAACAGTATTCAAGTACAGAAATTTAATAATCAAATGTAAAATAGTATTGGATAGTCTTAACTTAATAATATTAATCTTCATAAAACATATTTATGCACTACTAAAATGTTTTCAAGAGTTCACACTTAGCTGATAATCAATAAAGCGCAATAGGCATGCTGTCCCGGGAGAGAGCCCTGAGCTCGTAATATCCTCGAGCCTGGGGCTTCCTCCCAATAGAAGGGCGAGAGGGGAGTTCGAGCTCAGGTAGGTCTCGAGATCTCCTCTGCTTGTCGCCCTGAGAGAAGTGTAATCTATGGTTGTCTTGGATAATATTTTGATTTAGTCGATTGGCTATGGTGTATGATTTTGGACGTTGGGAGGAAACCGGGGAACCCGCGGGAAACCCACGCAAACACGAGGAGAAAAAGGAAACTTCACACAGAAACGCCAACTGGCCCGATAGGAGGTTGGACTGATGGTGTTCTTGCTGTGAGGCAACAGTGCTAGTCACTGGGCCGCCGTCTCGCCTTATCTGAAAAAAGGGTGGGAAGTAGGGGTGGAACGGGGGGAAAACTTCAAGACGAAGAAAACTGGAGTGAAAATCTCTGGTTATTTATAATGCTTCCATAATCATCTAATAGAGCAGATTACGAAGCTAATGAGGTGCCAGCCGTGTTGATCATAAGAATATGATCCTCTAAATTAGTTTATAAATAAACAACACTTAAACTCTCTTTATGTGCTCACACAGTCACAGGCCCTAAAACACATGCTGATGATAAACTTTCACACTAAGGTTAAATTCTGCAGTGTCTAAAGGTTAAATTCTGCAGTTGTTTCTAGTCATCCTAACTACATTGCATATCTTGCGATGAGGCTGTTGGAGACGCACACATTGGGATATCAATACTCAAATGATATATTGTGCAGTCCCATAAAAGATTCTAATATATTTTTAATCTACCCAGCACCAGATAGGCAGTCATGAGCTACAGTGGCTTCTGAAATGTCCACTCATGTAAATAATCTTGTGTGTTAACAAACACTCAGTTTATTTACATCTCGCTTTCACTGTACTCAAGATGTTGTTAGTGCAATAAGTGGTTAAGTGTTATGCAACAACCAAACGGCTTTTAACTTCCAAAACATCAGCACCGGATTGCCTTTTTAATGTGCATAATTTACTGAAACATTAAATAACTTATACTTTTAGCTGTTATTAATAATCACTGCACTAAAATATCCTCAGAGTCTGTGTTTTGTTTTTAGATGCCCAGTTTGGCACTTTCTACTTTGTTGCTGTCATGATGGGCGCCTGTCAGCTTCTGTCTTTGTTAGAGCTGTTTCACATAGCAGATGGTTTTGATGAGTGCAGACTTTTCCCTCGCTTTATGCAGGTAAAAAATAAAACCACATACACGTCACTAACAAACTTTGCATTTGCAAATCTGCACCTAATAAATATAACAAACGCGATCATTGACTCTTTCACTTTTTACTTGCAAAAATCTAGTTCTTGTTTTCCTAAAAGGTGAAACTGAAATGTTTCCACATAGGTCGCAACAAATCAAGATTTTGTAATGTGTATGTGTGAGAAATATATGGCTTGTATTTTTAGGATGCATGATTGGTGTTATGTTAATTTTTTTTTTTCATTTACAGGTAATTGAGAGAAATGTCCTTTTGTTTCTCCTCATCAGTCTGGAGGAGTTTCAGAGCAAACCAATAGTGTGTGTGCAGTTTTACCTATGGAATATTCTGGGCCTTCTAAGGTTTGTCTTTTATATTAGAATTAGGCAACATAAACTCATTCTGAAAACGTAGGGCTATATACATTTCTGGAGATCGCAAAATACGTTCCAGGAGGTATGTTTTTTTGCAGTTTTTGTTTTCATGAGTGCACCAAAGGCCACTGTGTATGCTTTTGAGATCTCAAATGTTCAGATTTTATATGCTTTCTGGAACCGTTCTTCGCCAAACTCGAACCCCATCATCGCGGTCAGCTCCTCTCTGCCTCTCAAGTCCGCCGACGTACATGGCGAGCTAACTGGACAAACTAGTAACAGCGAGAAAGCAGTCCATACAAGGTAAACGGTCAGCTGCTAGTGCGAAAAGGAACAGCGTCATACTGCCCTGTAAGTTCGTTTTAAAGACGAACTGCAGCCATACCTACTTCTGACTACATAATTTGCGATCTCCAGAAATGTATATAAGGATACGTTTTTAGAATGAGCCTATGTTGGATTTAAGGCTTTTGTGAATACTTTTAAAAGGGCCATGTTTATTCATATACTATTTATGAGAATGTTGTTAAACACTTAAAGAGGTTTTATTATTAATTATTAGATGTGTTCAGAAAGTATGTAAACTATCACGGCAAAATACTTCATAGGTGAATTATTTGACCTTGCTGTAAATGGCTTTTTTTTTTTTGGAATGAAAATGTTGTTTTGTTTATGTTTCTTTAAATGCAAATGAGCTGCTGCTTCCCGTCCCCTTTCCAGAAAATAGTTGAGCCGTTATAGCTTGTGTCTCAGATCCTCATGCAAAATAGCTTTGAGTCGAGGGACGATGCCATCATCCATCACAGATGGCTGACAGACATCATGATGCTGAACAGGCGTCGTGATCCTCCGTGCCAACCCTGTCGCAGCAGCAACCCGCTTGCGAAAAAATACACACAGCCCCATTTACACGAAAAGCCATTTTAGAACCAAAACGATCTACATCTACACTGGCGTTTCATCTAGCATTTCTGAACAGCCCTCCTTCCATACTATACCGCTGAAAACGCACATCACGTGACCACACATAAACACATACTCTGTCATACACTGCAACATGTGCGCATGTCTGAGCCCCAGGCAGTCAGCGGGTGTTTTAAGCACAAAACCCCAGAGAGCAGTGCACGTCAGACAGCTTATCAAGGATGTACCGCTGGATCACATCTCACTTTAGTTGTTAAACGTGTTATTTAATTAATCTTGTCTCCATCTAACGACAATCAGGTAACGTGTCACAGCATCAGCACACTGCTTGAATCTTCTGCTTTCAGGCTTGTACTTGATAATTTTAGTGAAACCTCAGATACTGTTGGTTGATTCCTTTTGGTTGTGCACCTTTTTTTACCGACCAAGTTAGTCGACGCCATTGTAACGACACAGATCACTCATGCCATTCATGACAGAGTCCCGCGGAAAAAGTGATTGCCAGGTGCTAATTTGTGTGTAACTTATCTTTATTTAATTCTTTTTTAAGCCTATGCGGTACCACATTTTTATGGAATTCTGCAATTTTAAATAAGTCATTTTATAATATTTATAAAAAATTAATATTTACAATATTAACAATCAACAAACAAACAAACCAAAAACAAAATAATAGGAGGGGAAAACAGGAATGGGTATACAACACAGTCAAAACTTATACAACACTGGAAACATAATCAACGATAACAAATTAGCAACAGGAATAACTTTATCACATAACAGCTGAAAACAATCATAGGTACGTGATTCTCCCGAAATTAGTTTATAAAATAAACTTCACTTACTGTAAAAATTCGTAATAAAGAAAAATCTCCATTTCGAGAACTTTCTAGCCCTTCCTCTCAGCCCTACGCCTTCAAGTTAAATTGAACTAGGACAGACAGGGCTAAGGGGTAAAATTGGGATTGGGCCTTACACTCCCTTTGGAGTGACGTAGTGTTTTGTAAATTTAGCATCATTAAACACTAATAGAAGTGAAAAAAATTAAGGTTTTAGATGAAGAAATTTAATACGTTCAAGAGCGTCTTGAAAAGCAAACATAGGTGAACAAATGAGCAGTGCAAAGATGATGAAATATGTGGTAGTTCAGTCTGTAATATTTATTTGTTTGTTTGTTTGTCCTACAGGTATCCACATCGGTTGTTTTGCCTTATAGGCACACCATATTTTAAAATGCTATGGGTTCATCAAACACTTACAATTCCAGTGTACTTGATGTCTGCCGTCACAGAAGGTAAAATATCATTATATTTACAATATATCATTTCAGTGTGGTCATGTTATTGGCCCTTGAATATTTCCTGCTTTTTATCATGCTATTTCATAACTGTAACAAGAGGCTATTCACTCATTACAGTGTTTAAACAGCTATCATAACAATATTTATTAATATGTGGCTCTGTTTGGAATAACGGAAGCTATAGAAATAAAAAAATGTAAAATAGGAAATACGCTAAGACCACTGTTTTTGTTTACATGCCTCAAAATTGTCTATACCATCAATTTGGAAATCTTTGAAACTGCAGCGTTTTCTAGGTTTAAACCAAAATCGCAAGAGAAAGTTAAAAATTTTGTTTTAATTTTGAAGGTCATTTTAATCCTGTTGGAACATGCAACATTTCATTAATTTTCCTTTGGCTTATTCCCTTATTTATCAGGGGTAGCCACAGCAAATGAACAGCTCAGTGCAACATTTGATAACACTATTTTTTTGTCTCTTACCTAAAAGAGATAGTGATTTTTTTTTTTTTTTACTTAATCTTAGTCAACATTACTCTATAACTTCTGAAAATGAAAGGTATTGTAATAGGTAGGATCTTTCCCAATGCTGGATGGGAATAAGCATCAGAAATATAAATCGTCAAATCACAATTATTTTCTTGAATTTTTGGGAATGTAGTGCTACATTGATCACAACGTTCTTGTCTCTGAAAATTTCAGTTTACACTTTTAGTTAATTTTAGTTGGCATTACTTCAAAACTACTCAGTTATTTAGTGGTGTACAGCAAGAACCAATTCTTGGCCCTATCCTGATTTCTTTTAGTTCTTTATTTCAAAAGCAAGACTGAATTATATAATTAAAGTTATATAATTATTTTCAAACAACAGAGTTTGTGTGACATAAAAAAAAAATCATTGTTATAACTTATAATTCATCTTACACTGACATCTTACATGAAAAAAACATTACAAGCAGTCAGCGCATATTAACAGGCTTGTTAGGACCTGCACAAATGATCTTAAGAGCTTTATTGAGGAGGAGACAAGTTTGCTGATGTAGATTGGCTTTGCTTTAGTCAGGCGGTGTGTTAAGAAAGCATAATCTAGAGTGTTGTAACTCGCTATATTCAACAGTATAGAGTAGAGAGTAGCGAGCACTTTGATGTCAAAAACACATTAAAAAAGCAAATTGATTTGATCTCAGGTCAAAATGACATCGAATTGACATTTAACATTGGTGTCCAATATGTAAAAAAAAAAAAAAAAATCGATTACAGAACAGTTGAATATTATATGTCAATTAGACATTGAGGTTGTTTACATGCATTGTAGGGATTCAAAATCCAATGTAAATTTGGAATTAAAGCTTTCAGATGGATAAAACTTTTCTTATAATAATTTTTTGTCTCATTTTACTGGTAAAAACAGCATCAATGTGTGGATGTCAAGGCTTTGATTTCAAATCCATGTCAATTTGATGTAGTTTTGACATCAAGGTCCACTGGAAAATGTTTTTGTTCATCTTTCAGCGACTAATCCCATCCTCTTTCTTTTATTTTAGGAATAAGCATTTTCCTAATGTTGCCATACTTATCGGAATCTGAAGGAACAGATTCAGTCCAACCTAAAGTACCTGCACCGATGTACATGTATTCTCCATATATCGTTATGAGTTGGATACTACTTCTTGTATTAGGTAAAATAATGTGATGTTGCTTCTGTTAATGGTAGCCCTGAAAAAATAATAATTGAGCCACACAAAAAATCTCTCAAAATCAAATTCAAGCAGCATATCAAACTTTTAACAAACCCTGAAAGATAGTTAACTATAAACACATTATGCTAATGTTTATCAACCCAAAAATGTCAAATCACTAGACATATGCCGTTATTCAATATGTTGTGATAATGATATTATGGGCACTTCAAAATAATACCATGAATAATTATTTATTATTAAAAGTTTTTGAGCACTTTTTAAGAATGTTCACAATGTATTTAAAGTGGAATTCATAACAGTGTTAAATTTAATAGTTCAGATATTATCATTTAAACAGCTTAATCTACTACTAAATGCTGAAATATTGATAAAAAAATCTGTTACTATTTATAGGGATATTGTACACAATTACTCTACAATAATGTTAAAAAACAGTTAATTATTTAATTTAATTAAATGTAAAATAAATCATTTATTAACCTTAGGTGATGCTATTTTCTTAGTTCATGCCTAATAGCATAAGAAAAACGTAGTAGTAATCTGATTGCAAGTTGTAATAGTCTTATTGAACAAGGCTAATAACTAGTAACTTCAATAAATATAGTAACTAAAATAAAACTTTATTGTTACTTTATAATCCTTTAAAAGCAATACATGAGGTATTTTTTGTCAGTACTACCTGTTAAAGTAAGCATTTTGCAGTAAGCCCTTACCGCGATAAGAGCTTTAGCAATTAATCGCAACTTATAAGTAATTTGTAGGTTTATGAATGTAAAATTTTTTTCAGCTGTGGTGCCGGCAAAAACGGGTGTTAAATTACAGAAATTTTTCACAAAATAACAGACGTTAAAATTACAGAAATTTAATGTAAAATAATAGACCTAAAATGACAGAAATTAATCGTAAAATAACTGGCATTAAATTACAGAAATGTATCGTAAAATAATGAACGTTAAATTACAGAAATTTTCCTGTAAAACAACTGCCATTAAATTACAGAAATTTATGGTAAAATAATGTACGTTAAATTACAAAAATTTATGTTAAAATAACTGCAGTTAAATTACAGAAATTTATCATAAAATAACAAATGTTAAATTACAGAAATTTAACGTCAAATAATGGACGTTAAATAACAGAAATTTATCGTAAAATAACAGATGTTAAAATGACAGAAATTTATCAAAAAATTAATGGCGTTAAAATACAGAAATTTACAGTAAAATAACAGACGTTAAATTACATAAAATAATCGTAAAATAATGGCGTTAAATTACATACATTTATCGTAAAATAATGGACATTAAATTACTTAAAATTATGGTAAAATAACTAGCGTTAAATTACATAAATTTATGGTAAAATAATAGACGTTAAATTACATAAATTTACCGTAAAATAACTGGCATTAAATTACATAAATTTATCGTAAAATAATGATATTAAATTACATAAATTTACCGTAAAATAACTGGCATTAAATTACAGAAATTTAGCGTAAAACAATGGACTTTAAATTACAGATATTTCCTTAAATTTACATTTCTGGTAAATTTCTGTAATTTAATAGTTTTTTTTTTTTTTTTTTTACTGTTGCCGAACTACTTACACATTTTTTTTTCTAAAAAATGAAATAAAATAGTGCACAATTACGCGATTTGGGAGGCACTTATACATTTTCAAGTGTGGCTTAAATAGTTTTAGGGCTACAGTATGTTTTTGACATTTAATTACTTAACTTACACAAAACACATTAAGTGATTTAATTGTGATTGTCATCTTGCCTCTGTTTTGAAGGATCCAGTTTAACAGTACTGCTCTTGCTGAAGGAAAGAAAAGAGAATCTGGAGAGCTGGAATAAGAAACTGAACTAAGACTAAATCAAAGACGATGATGAACAGGTTCTCCTACTCACCAAAATCATAGAAATATGTTCATTGTTACAGTATTCTGGAGGCACAGAGCTTTTACTGGTTTAATAACAAAAAAATAGTTTCAAAAATGCAAACTTACAGCATAAATGCTTTCATACATTTATATGCAGCAGTTAACAGATTACAAAGAAATAAAAAATATATACAGTTGAAGTCAGAATTATTAACTCCCTGAATTATTAGCCAGTTTATTTTTACCCCAATTTCTGTGTAACGGAGACCAAATTTTTTCAACACATTTCTAAACATAATAGTTTTATCAACTTATTTCTAATAACTGATTTATTTTATCTTTGTCATGATGACAGTAAATAATATTTTACTAGATATTTTTCAAGACACTTCTATACAGCTTAAAGTGACATTTACAGGCCTAACTAGGTTAATTAGGTTAACTAGGCAGGTTAGGGTAATTAGGCAAGTTATTGTGTAACAGTGGTTTGTTCTGAAGACAGTTGAAAAACAAACTAGCTTAAAGGGGCTAATAATTTTGACCTTAAAATGGGTTTTAAAAAGTTTAAAACTGCTTTTATTCTAGCTGAAATAAAACAAATAAGATGAGAAAATATTATCAGACATACTGTAAAATTTCCTTGCTCTGTTAAACATCATTTAGGAAATATTTAAAAAAGAAAAATCAATTCAAAGGGGGCTGATAATTCTGACTTCAACTGTACACTGAACTTGCGTATAGACAAAAATTGCACATACAGTATACACACAAACTATGCAATAAACTAAAATTTAAATAAATAAGGACTAAGCACAGACCCATTTTAACTGAATTAAACAAAACATACTCGTACATTAGGGATGCTCCGATCAGGATTTTTGAAGCTGATACGGAGTAGCGATTCCTTGTCATGGTGATCGGCTGTAACTGAGTACCGATTGTGATGCTTCAAGCCATTGCATAAGCACAATTACCCTTTAAGCATAAGATCTCGCTTTACCTAAGATGCTGAATTAAGAAAGTTGCATACATGTACTGGTCACAAGCCGCTTTACAAGAAAAAAAGCTAAAACAGATAAAAAAAAATGGTAAGAAAACTGACTAACAATGCAATTTGGAAACATTGCTCATGTGTTGTAGTGCTGCTGATGCAAAACCCAGGTGCGCACGTGCATCTTAATTACTGATCTCTGGCTGATCGATCGAAGCATCCCTGTTATTTTCAAGATCCAATTGATCAAACCTGAATAGAAATCCAACTAGCAAATGAAAACAGAAAAAAAAAACTTTAGAAAATGAGTGGATCTTCCTGGAAAAATCTATTTTAAACAAATTGTTCAACTGTGAAAATATACACCCTGGTAAATTTTTTATCAACGTTAATATTACTGTAGTTAAGAGAGCTTAAGGAACATAAGTCATCTGATTTTGGTTGTCAATGTCTCTAAAAGCACAATAATAATAATGACTTGAGTTTTAGAAATGATGAGGTCAGCCTTAAAACTTCTGTCTCAGTCATTTTATGGTGCTTATTAACATTACACACCATTTTGTAGATGTGCTTGCAAGAAGGAGCACGTTCAAGAAGCAAGGTAAAAAAAACAATATCTTGCCTTCATAGTATTGTGTATTAAAAACAGTTTGATCACAAATTATTACCAAAACTACTAATCTTTGAACACAATCTGTCATCACCTACAGTAAATTGCTCTGGACTAAAGGACACATTTAAGAAATGCATGTATTGTAAACAGTGTTGGGTGTAATGGCTGTACTTCTGCAACAACCGCACGCGTATGCTCTGACACAGCTTTCGTGTGGTCGCATAGCCCTCGTTGTAACTGACGCCGACAGTGGCCCGCACCTCTCAAAAAATGTAACTACACGCCACAACGACAGTTAGCACAAGCTCAATGATTGGTCGGCTTGATATCCATGACAAGCGTAGGCAGTGCTGAGAGCTGCGAGCTCGATGGAGCAAGTGTTTAGAAGTGTCGAGTCCCGTTAAAAAGCTCCAGATGGAAATCTTTGTTTTGTGTTTACATTAATGATCAAACTTGTTGCACATTCGCTGGTTCCCGCCTATGAATGAGCAAGTGTTAGCTACTTGTAGTGTTCAGGAAAAAAACAAAACACCAGCAAAGAAACTCGACACAGAGGAACATAAACAACTGCTGCACACTAGGCATGCGCCAGGGGTCACGATGATCACTCGATGCAGAAGTATAAATCAGCCTTGCCTCGTCTGCCTTCTGCAAAGTCATCCATATAAATAGTAGTTACATTTTTTGAGAGGTGCACGTTACCATTGGCATCAGCCACGGTGAGGGCTATGCAACCGTGCGTAGGCTGCGCCGAACCATACGCATTCGCTTGACGCGGAAATATAAATCAGCCTTCACAAGTAATGCAAGTTACATAATAATATTACTCCTAAATAACAAGTAATGCATTACTTTTAAAAAATAAAAATATAATATTTAAGTTACTTTTTTTAAAAGGTAACACGTTACTTTTTAGTTTAAATAATTAGCTTTTAAAAAAGTTAATTGCTGAATTAAAACAAAAGTAGTCACAATGAATCACACAGTCAGTGAGAGAATAAGTTCATCATTTTGAACGCATTGAAGAAAAGGACGAGGGATAATCTCAACGGACAGCGATTTTACTTAGGACAAATAGTACAAACATAGCAAGTCTAGGCCAGGTAATAAAAATTAGCGCAAAAGTAACTTAAAAGTAAAGTAATGCATTACTTACCATAAAAATAACCAAGTAGCGCTACTAGTTACTTTTTTAGGGAGTAACTCAATATTGTAATGCATTACTTTCAAAAGTAACTTTCCCAAACACTGATTGTAAATGTATGTAAGATCATTATATTTTTTAGACATGATTTGTGAAAACGTAATAAAAAGAATTTATTACCTAAAAGCGGTTCTGTTATGCAAGAACTCCAACAATTCAGCATCAGAATAAAGTAGATTTGTCAATTCTGCAATCAATTATTGTGAATAACAGTGTTTTCTCTAACAAATTGCAGTGCTTATCTCATACCGATCATGAATAAAAATTGTCACAGCGAAAGATTGTACCTTTTTTTGTTGCCATCAGTGAAAATGATTCTAAATGTTAAGGCAAATACACAATTGTACAATATTTAAAAGATAATGCACATCAAGATGGTTGTTCTGTCTATACAACCGGCTGGATGTGCATTATGCCACTTATCACATGGCTACTTGCATCAGAACTAAACAATTAGGCACGAAACATCTGTCTGAGCTGTAATCATTTATTCATTCACCACATGGTGCCAAATAGTCAAGAACAGCAGTGTGACAAAAGCATATAGTAGGTTATAATATTTGCTAACTGTCATCATGACTCGTATTAACCAAACGAGCCCGTGTTCTTAGATTAATCAGTTGTTATCAGGAAATAACATGCACTGTAAATGTCATGATTGACCAATTAGAATCATGTATTCCAGAGGGATATGTGATAATATAATATTAGCCTATATTGAACAATAATTTTGAGCTTCAGGTTTTGAATGTCTATATGGTTCAAAATAAATTAACAAAAAGTGTATTTATATGCACAAATCACATTAAAGAGATTCAATTCTATTCAAAAAATTCAATTCTGCCATCATCTACTTTCCCTTGACTTGTTCCAAAACTTTGTTCAGTAAAAAAACAAAACAAAAGGAGATATTTTGAATAATGTTGAAAATCTACAGTAGGAAAAACAAATACTATGGAAGAAAATGGTTCAAGATTTCTTAGACGCTTCAAAAAATGTTCAAACCAGATTAGAAAAAGTCAACGGTGAATAAAAGGCGACAGAATTTTTTGGGGTGAATTATCCCTTTAATCATGATGTTCAGCAATTAAAAGCAAAGAAAGAAAGCATTTCCAAAACAGACATTGGACAAAACTCCCAGTATAGTGTTACTACTGTTCAAGATAAATGCAATCAATTAATATATTTCCTCTTGACACACAGAAAGTTGAGTCTCCGCACACAGTCAGTGGGTGTCCAAACCTCCTTTGCTCGGTTATAAACTCCACATCTCTGATTCATAGCAGGACACTGAAGCTCTCCATTTGAAGACCAGGCTTTATAATCAACACCTTTTCCATTCACCCAAAACCAGCTCCCAGCTAGAAAGCGCAGGCCGATCCACAAGTCATCTGTATCAGCTTCTGTGCTGTTTATCTTGGCTTCTACCATCATGTCCTTTGAGTCTATTATGGCCAGACCGAGGTAGTGTTGAGGGCAGTAAAGCAGAGCTTCTTCCCATGTGCTTTCTTGATGAATGACGATCAACTCAAACACAAACATGCAATAAAAGTGCAGCTGGTCATTACAGCCTATGTTAGATGCTTTAAATGTGTTTTTATTGACACCCCCACAGTTGCCTCCTAGTAGAATTGTTGGTTCTCCTTTATCCCAAAATGTCACCCTTGCCTCCTCGCCTGTGGACCAGATCCACTGGTTACGGTTATTCTGCAGTCCGATCCAAAAATAATCCTCTTTAATCAGAGGATTGCTCGATAAGGCCTCCAAATCTTTACTTCCGACGGTGGACAAGTCGTCGTAGTTCTGTCTGCAATATTTTTGCGCATCTTGCCAAGACAAAGTCTTATTGACGAAGAAGTGAAGTCTAAATGCGCCCAAAGAGACTCCAAAGAGACTAAAAAAAAACAGCAGTGTAATCGAAGCTTTCATGATCTCCAGTTCAGCCGTGGGATACAAATAAATGTGGCATTTCACATTGATTAATGTTTTTAAAGACTTGCTACCACACCTCATTCACAAATTTCTGCCACGAACAGACCAATACAAAGCAGAACAGCTCTGACATTGACAGTGACCTCTGACAGGCTCATCATTCATTATATTAACAAATTCCATTCCACAAAATGTGGACGACTTGCCTATTTAAGGCAAATCAGAAGACTTAAAGTATGGAAATCACAATTTGGCTTTCACATTTACCAATAAGATGCTGAACTCTGGTAATTTAAAGATTACATAGTTGTTTTAATAAACCCCAAGTTGGATAATTATATACAGTTGAAACCAGACGTTTACATACACTGTTTAAAACGGCACATAACCATTTTTTAAAAAACTGTCAGATGTTAATGACCAAACTTTTTCACTTTTAGGTAAGGTAGGATTATCAAATTTGTTTCTGTTATGCTTAATAGCAGAATAATGAGGGAGAGATTTTTTTTGAGAAATTTGTATGACTTTTTTTGAAAGCCAAGTTTACATACAATAGGATTATTATGCCCCTGAAAAAGCTCAGATGATGGTGTCAAGGTTTTGGAAGTTTCTGATTGGCTAATTGACAACATTTGAGTTAATTGGAGGCACAACTGTAGAATAGTATTTAAGGAAAACCTCAAACACACTGCTTGTTTGACAACATGGGAAAATCAATAAGCCAGAATCAACAAAAAAAAGCCAGATTACAATTTGCTAAATCACACTGGAAACAAGATTAATTTATGGAGACATGTCCTGTGGTCTGATGAAACTAAGATTGAACTGTTTGGCCATAATGTCCAGTGTTACATTTGGAGGACAAAGGGGAAAGCTAGGAACACCATCCCAAACTAAGAAGTATGGGGGCGGCAGCATCATGTTGTGGGGCTGTTTTGCTGCAGGAGGGACTGGTGCACTTCACAGCATAGATGGCATAATGACGAAAGAACATTATGTAGAAATACTGAAGCAACATCTCAAGACATAAGCAAGAAAATTAAAACTTGGCAAAAAATGGGTCTTCCAAACAGACCATGACACTAAGCATACTGCCAAATTAGTTCAAATGTGCTTTAAGGACAACAGAGTGGATATTTTGGAGTGGCCATCACAAAGCCCTGAGCTCAATCCTATAGAAAATATGTGGGCAGAGTTGAAAAAGCTTGTGTGAGCGATTCAGCCAACAGATCTGACTCAGTTACACCAGTTCTGTCAGGAGGAATGGGTCAAAATTCCTTTGAACTACTGTGAGAAGCTTGTGGAAGGACACCCAAAACATTTGACCATAGTTATACAGTTTAAAAGCAAAGCTAAAAAAAATACCAAGGAAATGTTAGATAATCCTAACTGATTTACCATCAGACATTTTTAAAAAATGGTTATGTTCATTTTTTTTTAGAGTTTATGTAAACTTCTGGTTTCAACTATATATATTTCTGCAATTAATTGTCAAAAGTTCTAGGAAATTTACCCTTTATCTAAATTTAATAGGGTTTAATAAAGAGCTGCCTACCCTTTGCAACTATAGCAGCTTCAATTCTTCTGGTAAGTCTATCCAGAAGGTTCGAGAGTTTGTGGGAATTTTTGAGCATTCTTCTAGAAGTCCACTCTAATTCATCCTAAAGGTGTTCAGTTGGGTTGAGATTAGGACTCTGTGTAGGCCAGTCCAGTTCTTCCACACTAAACTCACTCATCCATGACTCTCTGAACCTTACTTTGTCCGCTGGTGTGCAGTCAAGTTGAATCAGAAAGGGCCATCACCAAATGATTCCTGTTTTAGGTGTGTTTCAGGGACCGGCGAAGGGTGTGTGACTATACGAAGGATACGCACGTATAAAATGGCCTTTAAAGGTTTGTTTTGCTGGAACTAAGTGGTCAAAGCAAATCCCTGAAAAACAACCCCATATCATAATCTTCTCTCCAGCAAACTCTATACGCACCGTTCTCCAGGCAAGTGCCTAACCCAGACTCATCCTTCAGATTGCCAGAAAGAGAAGCATGATTGGTCAGTCCAGAAAACACATCTTCACAGCTCTACAGTCAGGTGGCTACCTGCTTAGTTTACACCACTACCTCCCACTTTTGCATTGCACTTGTTGATGTGAGGCTTGACCACAGCAGCTCTGTCATGCAAACCCTTTCCAGGAAGCTCTCTATGCTTGTTCTTCAGCTGATCTGAAGGCCACATGGAATTTGGAGATTTGTCATGTCTGAGAGTGACCATTCCCCTTTACAGATCTTTGACAAGCAGTCTGCTAACTTTATACACCCGTGGCCATTAAAGTGATCGGAACATGTGAATTCAGTAACCTGGAGGGGTGTTTTAAAACTTATGGCAATGTAGTGTATACGTTTCATTAAGAAGATTCTATTAAGCCGTGAATTCTACACACTTTCACATGCAAGTTCTAAATAAACATATTTAACTGAAATATTGACTTAATTGAACCACTTTAGATCATCATATGAGCTGAAATCATTAATAAGTTAAGAGAACATTTATTCTGGTGTTTGTTCCTTTTTGGGAAGGTTTCTAAGTATTTTTTTAATAAATCAGACCACTGACATTTTTGATCAACATCGTGACTGATTTGTAGTGTTTTATCTCTTGTAAATATATTTGATTTGTCTGTTTTTCTATTTAATTTTAGCTGACTATTTTAAGGCATTAGTAAAGTATCACTGGTATTTAACTGCAGGTTGTTTTGAATAATCTGTGAAAAGGGGAACTGGAAATGCAAATCAAGGTATCATTCAATTTAGAAACAAAAACAAAAACTGATATTTGCCCACAGGTTACATGAGATGAGGGCTTTACAAATCTCTAAAACAACATTAAGATTACAAGATTATGCTTGTATTTGCACCATCTGAATACTGTTTGTCCAGTGCAGCGTATTTTCAACACTCTGCTAAAATGACTTAACGTCGCAAGCTCAAAAAGTCATGGTTGCAGATTTGGTGTGTGCTTTGTGACAGAAGTGATACTGTGACAGGAATAGATGGATGTATGACTGCAGAGTATTTGTAAAGCACCTAAAGCAACCAGATCTAAAATTCTGGCAAGGGTTCACCTTATATTTAATAAAATTAAGATGGTAATAACCTAAATTAACTCTCAGAAGCACAGTTTTTGTTATGTCAACTTAATTTTGATGTTATAGCAATTGTAGATTTCAAATACCTTCTTATTAAAATATTGTAATACTATCCACAGCCATATCACTCAGCAGACCAGTTACTCACTGAGCTAAGCTGGGCTGAGCCTGGCCAGTACCTGTATGGGAGACCACATGGGAAAACTAGAATGCTGTTGAAAGTTGTGTTAGTGAGGCCAGCAGATGGCGCTCAACCTGCGGTCTGTGTGGGTCCTAATGCCCCAGTACAGTAAAGCGGACACTATACTGTCAGCGAGCATAGTCTTTCGGATGAGACGTTAAACTGACTAATCTCCATCCACTGAATTGGCTCTATCCCTGTCTCTTCACTCCACCTATAGCCGGTGTGTAGTGACCGCCCTGGCGTCGTTGTCCTGTGGCTGCCATCGCATCATATAAGGCCCCGTTTACACTGTCAGATCTTGATGCCCAATACCGATTTGTTGCCTATATCAGATTTTTTTTGGCCTGTCTGTTTACACGTTCTTTTATTTGTGACTCATATCCGATTGATGTGTGTACACTTGCTATGCAATTTACGATGTTGCGCATGTGTAAAAGCAGGTTCTAGCATCTGCGCAAGGATGTAAGAAATTGTCTTGCTTTTAGCTCTGTCAAATATGCAAAGTTCACCCAACTTTAAAAGGATTTTGAGGTGGAAGAGGAAGCAAAGGGCCGTCATCGTAGCTTCCGCCTATGGTTTATATACATGAAGTCCGGATTATTAACCCCCTTTACATTTTTTTTTCTTTTTTAAATATTTCCAAAATGATGTTTACAAGAGTAAGGCAATTTTTACAGTATGTCTAATAATATTTTTTCTTCTAGAGAAAGTCTTACTTGTTTGATTTCAGCTAGAATAAAAGCAGTTTTTAATTTTTTAAAATTATTAGCCCCTTTAAGCTATATATTTTTTTCCCGATAGTCTACAGCAGGGCTTCCCAAACTTTTCAGGCCGCGACCCCCAAAATGACAATGCCAGTGACTCGTGACCCACAATATCCTCAGAGGTGGTTATAAATACAGAAACCTTGCATGCAATGGCACACACACACCAATGGACCCAAGTCTATTCTTCTTTAAATTTTTTTAGCGAGCTGTAAATGGGCCACAAAGTTTAACCAGGTGTTATGAAATCTGCTGCATCTGACGCTATTGCTGTTGGGGTTGCAATCCAATAGAAGTAGTAACTATAAGCTACTATAGTAACTATATATGGTATAAACTACAATTTTTTTTCTCTTCAGAAGGTTATGGATAAAATATGGTGATTCTTATGGTTTAATAAAAATAAATAGATTTTTGGAAACCACCAGGCGACCCCCCTTCATTGTCCCGCGACCCCTCGGGGGGTCCCGACCCCCACTTTGAGAACCATTGGTCTACAGAACAAACCATCATTATACAATAACTTGCCTAATTACCCTAACCAGACTAATTAACCTAGTTAAGCCTTTAAATGTCTGTATAAAAGCTGTATAAAAGTGTTTTGAAAAATATCTAGTCAAATATTATTTACTGTTTTTCTGGCAAAAATAAAATAAAACTGTTATTAGAAATGAGTTATTAAAACTATTGTGTTTAGAAATATGTTGAAAGTTGAAAAATTTTCCCTTGATTATACAGAAGTTGGGGGAAAAATAAACAGGGGGGCTAATAATTCAGGGGGGCTAATAATTCTGACTTCAACTGTATGTTGTCCTCCACCGTTCAGAAGAATTTGTGGGTACGAGAGAGATCTCAGGTCTGGTGGGAGCAAATTGTGACGACTGACCACTTTCCTCCTCCATGTTTCCTCTGTCGTTGTTGTTAACCGTCTCC